GCTGAACCTGACAATTCTGTGCAGAAGCTGCTTTCATATTATCTGAAATAGCAGCTAATCCTGAAATATATCTTAAATCATCATGAACTTGTAGCTATAAAATAATTATACACTGTGCTTTGAGGGACATTGGGGAAGCTAGTTTGCAATTCAATCTCTGCCCCCCAATGTATGTCTGAAATAATGTGGAAGTAGAGGCCCAAAAAGATTCAAACTAATTTAGAAGTCAGAATAATTGAATCATAGAGTTGGAAGGGACCTCCAGGGTCATCTAGTCCAACTCCCTGCACAATGCAAGGAATTCACAACCACCTCCCCCCCACACCCCCAATGACCCATGCTCCATGCCCAGAAGATGGCCAAACCTCTCCTCCAGGATCCCCAGCCAAACTGAGTAGTTCAGTTGGCCCTTTCCTACACACCCAGGGAAATGCCAATCACCACTTCAGGGCCAGGAAGCAATTTTCTCCAAGCCAGTTTGGCTAGGGATCCTGGAGTGGGGGTGGGGAGTCTCAGTTGGCTCTGTTTCAGCCACCCAACCACGGCCTCCATCCCTTTGGCCAGAATAGATGGGGTGTTATCTGTCCATCCATCAACATAGTTTGGAGTCATCAGTGTACTGATGGCAGCCCAGCCTGAAACGCAGCCCCAGGTGGGCGAGGAAGTGCACATAGAAGTTAAATAACATTGGAGAGAGGATTGTCCCTTAGGGGACCCCACACACCAAAGGGGTGGCGAGGTGACATCCTCTCTTCTAGCGCCATCCTACCTAAATGCAGAACTTCTACATTTATCCCTGTTGAAATTCATTTTGTTTGTTTTAGCCCAGTTTTCCAGCCTGACAAGATCATCCTGTATCCTGATGTCTTCTACTGTATTTGTTACCCCTCCCAATTTAGTATCATCTGCATATTTAATAAGCATTCCCTCTATTTCTTCATCCAAATACTTTATAAAGATGTTGAACAAAACAGGTCCCAGGACAGGTTTCTGAGGTACTCTACTTGTCACTCCTCTCCAAGAGGCTGAGGAACCATTCACAAGCACTCTTTGGGTGCGATCTGTCAACCAGTTACAGATCCTAACAGTAATAGGATCCAAACCACATTTTATCAACTTGTCAACAAGAATATTATGTGGAACTATCAAAAGCCTTACTGAAATTAAGATAAACTATGTCTACAGCATTTCTCTGATCCAGCAAGGTAGTAACAGTCTAAAAAAGAAAGAAAGAGATAAGCAAAGTCTGACATGACTTGTTCTTGAGAAACCCATGCTGGCTCTTAGTAATCACAGCCATCCTTTCTAAATGCTCAAGGACTGACTGTTTGATGGTTTGTCTTAAAACTTTCCCAGGTATAGACGTCAAGCTGAAGGGTCGGTAGTTACCCAGATCCTCCTTTTGCCCCTTCTTGAAGAAGGACAACATTTGCCCACCTCCAGCCTTCTGGCATCTTATCTGTTCTCCAAGAATTCTCAAAAGTAATGGACAGAGGATCAGGAATTATATCCATGAGTTCTTTTAGTACCCTTGGATGCCATTCATCTGGCCCCAAGGACTTAGTTTCATTTAAAGAAACTATATGTTTATGTACTACCCCTATGCCAATCCTAGGCTGCAACTCCCTTCCCTCATCATCTGTTTTTACCATGTTGAGCACCATTTCCCTCACAAGAGAAGACTGAGGAAAAATAGTAATTGCGCAATTCTGCCCTCTCTTCATCACCTGTTAAAATTTCAATTTCCTGTCCCCGCAGAGGTAGTGGTGTGCAGAATCCGTATAGGTACAATGTGTTGGTGGATGTTTCACAGAGAAAAATGAATGACGTATATTTAAAAAACCCCTTTCTCTGTTATTTTTTAAAAATTCTTTATTAATATGAACTTTTTGCAAAATTTAATTTAACCCATCACAGTGTAATATAAAAGCTATAACAAAAAATAAGCTAAATAAACCAAGAGAAGAGAAAAAAATTCAGCACAGGACCTAACGGGGCTTTATTCGACGAATAATTATTCTCGAATTATTTTTTCAATGTGAATCTTAAAGAGAAATACTTTATAAAACAATTGACTAATTGGGTCTCAATACATGGAAATAATTCGTAATTTTTCAAAAGTTCCAAAATGTATTTTAGACACAAAAATAATGCAAAAGCAGAACAGTTACTGGACATACAATTATATACAAATTTCTGCAATAAAATACTACATCTTTGAGAACAGTGGACCAAAGCTCTCAGAAGTACTAGTGTTAGATTGTTTCAAACACTGGAAATTTTATAAAGGATTGGATGAAGCTGAGTTTCTGTTCTAAGGTCCAGTGGAAGAGATCTTCTGAATAAGACTATGGTTCTCACTTACAAAAGTTAAAGGATGCCATGGTTTCATATTTATACAATTAAAAATATAAAGAATAATTAAGTAAATATTTATTAAAAAATCTTTGCAGAATTATCTTGGCAGGAGCTTTTGCTTAGTTTGGTCAGGGCTCAGTTGCAGCAGTTTTTCTGTCATTTGAGTCTTAGCATCTTTAAAAATTGGCATTTTATGTCCTGGCATCACAATTCTGTCTGCTGTTTTATTGAAATCAAGGTCTTTAAGTAAAATAGTTGCATCCTTTCTCTGTTATTTCTTATGAGTGGATGCTTGAAAAATTTTCAGTGTCTCCTTTTTGTGGTGATAACTGTTAAAAAAGTATCCTATAGTAACATAGGAGCTTTCTGTTCAACCCTGGATAGTTTCACAGGGCTGGATCGTTCCACTTCTGACAAATTTGCATCATTGATTTGTGTCATTATTGAGTGGTATAAATATAATAGTTTGAAATACTGTTTTAATCTGGTCTACAACTCTGAGTGGATGATATGGATAAACAGACTCAATGTAAACTATAGTTTGTGAAAGCACTGCAGGTTTCTCTTTTCTTGTAGAGACATCCAACTTACTCTCCACCCCTGGTTCTTCTACATTATATCTTGATGTACTTATCCAAGCATATACTGTGCATTATTAATAAATGTAAACTGAAATCCATTTTCATTATTTTATTATTTCAGGCTTTTATGATAAGTTCATTCTGCTTCTCGATTTCAATAGCCTGTACCCTTCAATTATCCAAGAGTTTAATATATGTTTCACGACAGTTCATAGGATGACTTCTAATATGCAAAAAAAGACAGAGGTATGTATCTAGTTTTATAGTCATTTTAATGTTTGATTTACAAGAATTTAATGTGTATGAGCTGGTTCTAACTAGAGTATGGTTCGATTTAACTTCAGTTATAGCATAATAGTTTGGTGATGATGAAAATGTTCTAGTGTTTTTCATGTACTTTTTCCGTGTTCCATCATTTTGATGACAATGAAGATGTTGTGAATTTCTTGTTTTTTATTTATTTTATTCATTAAAACATTTATATCCTGTCATTCCTTGTGACTCAAGGCAGCCACATAATAATAGTTAAAATTTTCAATTAAAACAAAACTTGCTCAAAAGCCCCGGCAAACAGGCCTTTCCGTGCTTCCTGATGATCTCCAAGGAGATGGCCCCCTTAATCTCTTCAGCGAGTCCATTCCACGAAGCCAGAATGGGAAAGGCCCACGCTTTGGTCCATGGCAGACAGGCCATCCTAAGTGGTGGGATAGCTAATACATGGCTGCCTGATAACCATAGCTGGTGCAGCTGAAGCCCGCCCGGCCCCAGCACTCTGCCCCGAAGGCCGCAGAACCAGATTGAGCTGGGAGTCCTCGGGCAGGCATGACTGCTGGGGTGTGCAGCAAGAACTATGCCTGACCTTCGGGGGCTTTAAATCAGCTGTTTTCCACTTTTGTCTTAGCTGCTTGTAGGAGTAGGGAGGGGGCAAGGGGAGCAGGAGGAGCAACACGCAGCTCTCCTTGCTGATGTCTAAAGGAGTCTTTTGGCACCATAAGGGAGTGGCGATGGTTAAGGGAGGAAGGAGAAGTCTGCAATCTGGCTGTGACCCCTGCGGCTGCTTTTCCCCAGGAGTGCCACCACAGCTCTTGGTGCCTGCTCTGAACATGGAGGAGGCCATGAGTTTCTGGTGAAGACAAGGGGGCCCTTTTATTTGATTTATTTTAATTTTATTATTAATTTTTATTTTAATTTCATTATATTTTGTGATGTTGAAAGTGACGTCGTGCCCCCTGGTGCCTTCCAACCAAAATTTTCTGGCTATGGGCCTGAACTAGTCTGTTTTGTTACCGTTTGACTACCAGCGCTAAATGACACTATCAAGTCCCTGTGCAAGATGAAAAATATGGACTCAGAGAACTAAGTACTATTCTTTCATTTTCATAGTTTCTACAGGGTAGGCTGAATTAGCACCCATACTGTGAAACACCAGATTTCAGCTATTGCCACATTCTTAGCCCAAAAAGGGGCTAGTTTGCTGTCTCAGCCATTTCTCTCTTTTTAAACCCATTTCAGTCTGGCTTGGTCTAAATCCAGAGTAATTAAAAGATTGTGTTCTCTTGCTTTTGAAACCACGTGTCAGTTAAGATTGGCCTTGCTCTGTGTGCCATACCTTCTGGGTAAGATTAGTAGAAACCAGAGACTAGGCCTTCTGTGGTCACCTAATCTGTGGAATATCCTCTCCACTATAGCTTGGCTGGTGCCAGGTAAAGACCTCTTTCATCCAGACATTCTATTGATTATTTTGTCTTCTGTGATGTTCTCTGCCTCCTCTATTTAATCAGTTCATTGATTGCTGCCTAATTATTCTAATAATCTACTGAAAGTTTTTGCTGAATTGGTTTAATGTGATTTTTATGCTGAAATTTTATGTGTTGCATTTTGATTTTATTAATACTGATTTAATTTGATGGATTTTTATTTCATTTTTTTTCTGTGACTTTGAACAATCTTTTGAAGATGCACCCTGTTAATCCTTCTTCTGTAAATTCCTGAATTGGTCCCTAGGTCATAGATTTTCTATTGGGGATCTTAAATAAGTTCTGTGTGCTCTCCCTGGAGTGCTTTTAAAGTCCTTAGTTCGGTGACTGCTTTTGGAGCTGACACTCAAAGCATTTTGTTTTTAGGGTCTTAAAGCTTAGTGGTAATGATGGGCAAGGAACTTTTTAGTTAGCTCAGATGCTTCAAGCTTTCTTTGATAAAATCTCGGGATGTTTTCCAGAGCTTGCTTCTGGCTTGTAATGTTGAGGTACTGTAATCCTGTGGAAGCTTGTGCCAGACCTCCATGCTGCATCCCACTTCCTGAAATTTATCTTTATGAGGACGGGTTGCAGAGGGAGGTTACAGTAGAGGCTGATGGGCATTTCTTAATTCCCATTATGTTAATGGATGCCCTGTGCAAATGTCAAGGCTTTCCACCACTGCTGTCAGCCCTTTCTGTTATACGAGTGTTGAAAGAACTATAGCAAAGTCCATAAATGTACTTCTTAGTTTTTTACAGAACAGTGTGCTTGTACCAGGTACTGAATACTGTGGCTATTGATATGCATATTGAGTAAATTGATGGAAAGTTCTTCTTGCCTTAAAAGTTATCAGTGATGAATGAATGTCAAATAATAACTTTACAGGATGGAGAACAAGAAGAAATTCCAGAATTACCAGATCGATCCCTAGAAATGGGAATTTTGCCTAAAGAGATCAGGAAGCTAGTTGAGCGAAGGCGTCAGGTGAAGCAGTTGATGAAACAATCAGACTTAAATTCTGACCTCTACTTACAGGTATATATAACAAGAACAAACATTTATTTATTTAATGCATTTTTATCTCACCTTTCCTCCAAGTAGTGCAGGGTGGCTTGCGTGGGTTTTTTTTGGCCAGTTTTATCTTTGTAATATCCCTGGGAGGTAGGTTACGCTGAGTGATTGATGGGTCCAGGGTCATGTAGTATGTTTTGGCAATTGGGGATTTGAACCCAGGTCTCCTTGATCCTAGACCAACACTAGCCACTTGTACCATCATGGTACTGTATACCTTGCCTTTAATGCCTTAGTTCGAGTGCAAATTGGGAGTCTTTGCTTTAATGGAAGGAGAGGTGAGAGATTACAATTATAATTTTTCAATCAAATCATTGTCTTGACCGTGGGTAATAAGATAAATGTATGTACAAAACAGCGGTAACAAAACATTCAATTTTCTTTAAAACAGTCTGTCGCATGGGTATCTGGGTTAATTTGTTCTAGTTGTTCTGCCCCAGGGCAAATGGGTCCACCTTCTCTGTTGACCTTCTAGTTAGAAGTAAATACTCAATTTAATTGTGGCTTGACCAAAAGTCAAAACAAGAAAGGAGCAGAGTCAAACAAATGCAGCTTTTTATTCTTTAAAAATAGAACATTATGTAATAAGAAATGTCCTCCACACTGCCCTCACCATAGAAGTAATGCCTTAATGAATGAAGACTGCTCCTAAAACATCTATCTAGAACAACAGAGGGCATTTGTTGAAATTTATTTTTCAGCATTAATGAAATGTTGATAGGATAGAAGCTCTCCTTGTTGGGGAAGTACTGAGGTCAATATATAGTAATTTTCATAGTTAAGGTTTGTCATGCTGAGAACCAAACTGAGAAGACAAAGCAAGCTGTGGGGAGACATTTCTCAGTCTGATATTTGATAGCTGAAGAAAAATAAGCATGCTAGAATCCAAAGGACTCGATTTAAAGAGTGGTAGGGCTGACAGTGTTCTCTGAAAACAGTTTTAGTAATCTGTGTTTTAAACAGTTTTAACTTTAAAAGGGGTAACTTCTCTGATATGAGGGGACATGTGGGGAGGAAACTGAAAGTAAAAGTAGAAAGGGTCAAAACCATTGGGGAAGCTTGGAAACTATTTAAAACTACGATCCTAGAAGCTCAATATATATATATATTCCGCAGGTTAGGAAAGGCACAAACAGGAATAGGAAAAAGCCTGCATTGTTAACAAAGTAATGGAAGCTGTAAAAGGTAAAAAGGATTCCTTTAAGCAGTGGAAAGCTAGTCACAGTGAGGCTGATAAAACGGAACACAGGCTATGGCAAATAAAATGTAAGTCTGTGGTCAGGCAGGCAAAAGGGGAATATGAGGAACATATAGCAAAAAATGTAAAAACCAACAATAAAACTTTCTTCAAAAACATTAGAAGCAGGAAACCAGCCAGGGAGGCAGTGGGGCCCTTGGATGACCAAGGGGTAAAAGGAGTACTGAAGGATGATAGGGAAATGGCTGAGAAGCTAAATGCATTTTTTGCCTCTGTCTTCACTGTGGAAGCTGTAAAAGGTAAAAAGGATTCCTTTAAGCAGTGGAAAGCTAGTCACAGTGAGGCTGATAAAACGGAACACAGGCTATGGCAAATAAAATGCAAGTCTGTGGTCAGGCAGGCAAAAGGGGAATGTGAGGAACATATAGCAAAAAACGTAAAAACCAACAATAAAACTTTCTTCAAAAACATTAGAAGCAGGAAACCAGCCAGGGAGGCACTATCTTATACAATGGTTCAAAAAGGGCTCGCCATTTGCGTGAGTTATTAAGATCCTCCTGTCTAGCTATGTCCTGGATTCGCTGTCTCACTAACTCTCTTGCTTCGTTGTATGTGAGAGAGCGAAGAAATTGTTTTGAGAGGCCAAGTTGAGAAAGTTTTTTCTTGATGACTCTTAGCCAAGGCGGGACAAAGGTATCCTGGAAAATTAAACTTGCCAACCCTCTAGGAAAAAAAGAATGTTTCAACCAGTATTGAATGGCTAGCATCCAAAGCTTTGCCTCCACCGGGATCGTGCCTGTTCCTATTCTGATCAAGGCATTTGAAGTACCAGGGGGAACTTGAAGGGCTGTTCTTAGAAACTTAGATTTAACGGCCTCCAGTTTTTAAAAATTTGAAGTGATATTAAAGGGGGCACCAAAAGTTAGTTGGCTATGAGATTTAGCTTTGAACAAATGGAGGGCTGCTATTATGCATTTATCCCCTTTATGCCAATAAAATTTCTGGATAGCCCCAGCACTCCTGCTGGCCTTTAATGTTGCCATGCTTATATTGCTAGATCTTGAGCCATTTTCCTGGAACAGAACCCCCAGATAGTTAAAACTAGAAACCTGTTCTATAGAGGAGGAATTTAGAGTCCAGTGATAATATTTTGGTGACCTTTTAGCAAAAATCATTACCTTGGTTTTAGCGTAATTTATTTCTAAACTATTGTCATGGCAATATTCAGAAAAAAAATTAAGTGCTCTTTTAAGGCCTGTAGGAGTTCTTGACAGAACCGCATCATTAGCATATAGAACACCAACATCTTTGTTACCAAGTTTTGGAGGATGACACTCCGGCTTGTTAATATATCATTAATATAAAAGTTAAAAAGAAGGGGGGCCAGAAGACAACCCTGTTTGACCCCTTTGTCTGTACTAATGGGATCTGTCAGGTGCCATTGGAGGGTATATTTTACCTGTATCGACGTCTGATTGTAAAGGACCTGGATAAGAAAGAGTAGGCGCCTGTTGATACTGGTAGAGCTTAATTTATCCCATAAAATAACTCTAGAGATTGTCGAAGGCTGATTTAAAGTCAACAAAGGCCGCCTAAAGGGATGCACTTGACTGAGATGAATATTTGGCGATCAGGTGGTCCAAAAACATACAGTGATCTAATGTGCTGCAACCTTTTCTAAATCCAGCTTGTTCGTCCGCCATACAGAAATCATTTTCTAATCAGTCTCTGATTTTCCATAATAGATGTTTTGTATAAAGTTTGCTCACTATGCTGAGTAGGCTTATGGGTCTGTAATTATTAGGGTCTTCTTTATTACCTTTCTTATACAATGGTATAATTATGGCAGTCCCCCAATCCCTGGGGATTTTTCCTGACTGATCAATTTGTGTAAATAGGGATGCTAGAACAGGGGCCCACCATTCAGCATTTCTCTTAATTAACTCTGGGGAAATTAAATCTATGCCAGGGGCTTTTCCAGGCTTCAAGGTATCTATAAGTTGTTTCAGTTCTGAGCAACTCACCGGAGGCCATGAAGGTAGATAAGAGATGGTGTCAGGAGTAAGAGAGCTTGTAAAGCTGTGAGTTTGCCACTTGAAGTGCACACACGGCCCGTCCTTCTTCCCCAAAGCATTTAAAGAGGTCCTTTGGGGGAGAAGTGGGGGACGGCTTGTGCCTGTGATCCAAGCTGTGAATTTACAGCTTGGAGTGCATGCGTATGCAGGGCACCTGCTTTTTCTCAAAAGCATTTAAAGGGATCCTTTGAATGCTTTTGAGAAGAAGCAGAGGTTGGCGCACCCCTCTCCCTCCCTCCTGCAAGATTTAAAGGGCCCTCCAGCTGATAGGCAGGCCACGTGGTCCCCAATGAACAGCTGAAGGGCCCTTTAAATCTTGAAGGAGGGGAGGGAGGATCCCTTTAAATGCTTTTGGGAAGAAGCACGAGGGCCTTTAAGGAAGGAAGGAAGAGGGTGGAGAGCCCAATAGCCCCACTGTAGCTATAGGCCAGGATAAAGAAGAATTTTTCACTCCTCAACTTGGATATTGCACCATTAATCTGGAAATTTAAAAAGGTGGCAAAAAAGACCTCTTTTTCCTTTTGGATCTGAAATATTATTTGCTTATATACCTGAAGACACAATCCTGACTTCAAGTGTAATATCCATGTACTCCAAGCACAAACAATGTATTAAGATTGGTTCTTTGGAGTTTTTTCTGTAGTTGGTATACTGACAACTTTTACGTATTTGGGAGTGTATCTGTTTTTCAAATGAGCTAGAATAAAGGCTATATCTGTTGGCAAGAAACTGGATATAAATTCTCATTGTTTTGCAAATTTAGTATTTGTCATAGCCCAGTCTTCTAGTGTAGTCAGGAAGTATGGTATAGAATTCTGCTGCTATAGTTTAGTATGCTGACAGGCCTCTAATTGTCAGGATGATATCCTATCCTTGTGTAAATGGAAATTAAGGCATGGATAGCCAGCAGAATTTTGCATGTATCCGGTAAGATTTACAGCAACAGAAAAAGTAATAATAGGTACCCACCATCACAAGCAGTGTTCCCTCTAAGCTGAGTTAGTGTGAGCCAGCTCACAGTTTTTTAGCCTCCAGCTCACACATTTTTGTCTTAGCTCAGGAAGGATGGCTCCAGAGCAAAGTAATTTATGCAGCAGCCAAATTGCTTGCTCACAACTTTAATGCCAGTAGCGCACAAAGTAGAATTTCTGCTCACAAGACTCCACAGCTTAGAGGGAACATTGATCACAAGTTGTTTTTTTAAACTTCAGACAGGATACCATCTTTATATGGAATATTATTTCCTGCCAAAGCATGAATTATGCTTTTCATTTTTGTTTTAAGAAATGAGAAGCAACACATTTTATTGCTTTTTTGTTCTAATACCTGTTTTGTGGCAGCTAATGTGTTGACCATATTTCTTTTCAGTATGATATCAGGCAGAAGGCTTTGAAGCTAACAGCAAACAGCATGTATGGTTGCCTTGGATTTTCCTACAGCAGATTCTATGCAAAGCCTCTAGCTGCTTTGGTGACGTTCAAAGGAAGAGAGGTAAGTAAGTCAGTGCATTGCTCATTTTCTGTGAGTGTGTATGCATACACATCCAAGGGAAAGCATATACAGATAGCATTTGAATTTTTCAATGAGTATTTTGTAATGTTTGTAAATATTCTACATCTCAGAGTGGTTTTAGAACTTTGTTGATAAGCTGAAAGTTGCCTTCCAGGTTAAGAGGGAATGTGGAAGTTTTAAAAAAAATCCTGTTACTTACTGCCTGTTTCCATAATTTGCAAAACTGACAAAAGTGAACAACATCAATGGTCTTCAGCATACAGTTGTGACAACTCAGGTGGATTGTGGATTTGTGAGCCCCTGTAGAGCTATCTCTTTTTGGTTGCTTTTTGGAGGGACCAGTGGTTAGTGCATGTGCTAAAGGACTCCCACACAACTGTCCCTTTCCACACATTCTCAAACAGCAAGCAGCGAGAAGATGACCTTTTAAGAAATGGAAAAGAAAGAGAGAGAAAAATTAATGTGCGATTGGGTGTAAAAGCAACTTTTTCTGTTATATTCATTTAATATAATTTAAAAATTTTCTATTCCACCTGTTGTCCTGTAGTGATTCAAAGAGGTTTACAAGAAAAGTTAAAACCAAATTACATCATCATACGAAAAGCAACAAAAATAATGTATAGATGTGTAATAAGAATCCCAATTTAGATCAACCAGCCAAATTGATTTATAAACATTAAAACCATAAAATGCCTTTAAAAGCCTTCTTTTCAAAGCATTGCTCTTTTAAAGGCCAAAAAGGTAGGGGATTGTATGGCAAAATCAAGCAGATTGCTCCACAGTGATGAGACAGTGACCCAAAAAAAAAGCCTGAGACTGGGCAATGGCAGAGCACTTGGAGGGACGAGACAACCAAAACACTCTGCTGCATTGAATACACAGGTATTTATTTTATTTATTTCATTAGATTTTTACCCTGCCCTTCCAGCAAAGCCGGCTCAGGGTACGTATGAGGAGATAAATTCATTCACATATACGGACCCAGGTCATGAAGAACTTTAAAGGTCAAAGTCAGCAGCTATGTTGTAGTGTTTTTTCACCAGGAGGGCCAAGTCCAGCAGCACAGCTAAGCCTTTTCCTTGCTTAAGAGAGCTTTGCATAATCCAGAATCAACTGGCTCCCCAGTATTTCCCAGCTTTTCTAAGCGTTGTTACCTCCAACTTGTTTGGGTTTAGCGTTAGCACATCTTCCCTTGATCACCTAAGTACGACATCCAGGAAGTGGTTGTACACAAAGATCGCTGCTTTCAGATTCTTGCTTAATGAAACAGAGTTGGATATCACTGCCATACTGATGACAACCCACTCTAAAATTTAGACTATCTCACCCAGTGACCCTATATAAATGTTAAGCAACATAAGGAACAACACTGAGCCCTATGGAACCCCATAAGAAACATCTAACAGAGTTGAAATATCCTTTCCCAATAAAACCCTCTTGTGTCTTGTTCTGGTAGAAAAGACCTGAACTACTTGAAGGCTGTTCCCTCTTCATTCTGTTCTCAAACCACTTCAGTAAGAACGTATCAAACACAACTAAGAGAACTAATAAAAGTAAAAGAGAGGAATTCCCCTTGTCAACCTGCAAGCTGAGATTATCCACCCGGGCAAGCAAGGTTGTCTGTGTTCTATTGTCTAAAGTTGGATTGAAGAGCGTTATGGACAGATAAGTTACCCAGGAACCCCTGGATTTGTTGGGGCAGGCAATAGGAAGAGGAGAGATACATAGCTGTACTTAAGAGAAGCATGTGGCAGCTGAAAAGATAGAAGATAGAAGGAATTCTTAGTGGAACCACAGAACTGCTTTTCAGACAAACCAAAAAGAGAAAACAAGGACCATTTCACTGAAGCTAGTCATTATGAACTTCATATATTTTAGCAATAAAGGTAACTTAGACAGCTCCCCCTTGAATTAAGTCTACAGAGCAGTCCATATGTGATTGTGAGGCTACCATTCCATTGTACTTGCTACCCTTCATAGCCTGACTTGCCTTTACTGATGTTTTTTCAAAAGGGTCAAGGAGGTAATCAAAAATAAGTTATAGGGGAGCTTCCCTGGAAGGTCACCCCTCCTTTTTCCTCTCCCTCCCTCCACTTCTGGGGGGAAAAAGACTGCAGTAGTAGCAATGGAGTGTGGCTGCCAGTCCCATCAGAGGAGTCTAGTTGTTGCCTTCACCGCCATTGTCTTACTGGTTACTTGTCCAGAGCATTCTGTTGTTGTAGAGGAGCTGCATGATGAGCAATGAGTCTTTGCAGTGAGTCCTCATTGAGGATGTCCGGCTCACCAGTGGCATCATCAAATGTCAACTTGTCCAGGCGGCTCACTTACTTGGGGATGTTCTAGACTAAACTGTAGAAAAGTGAGTAGTTGAGCACCAAGCTGGGTAGGGTGAGTTGTCTGTAGGGATGGGCACGAACAGGGAAAATGAAGTTTGGTTTGTGACGAGCCCAGTTTGTGAACCATGAACTGTCACAAACTTTTAGCTGCCAAATGATCTGGTTCTGTTAGTGATGTGGTAGAATGCCCCCCTGGTGTGATACAGACACCAAACTCACTGGGGATCTCTGGCTGAATCTCCTTTACTTGCCCTTCAAGTTTGGTTAGGATTGGATTTACAGGTCGAAGTTATGGGCCCCCAAAAAAGGTGCCCCCAGGAAAGTGTTTTCTGGGGAAATGACAGGCGGTCATTTTGACAGGTGCAGGTTCAGAAGTATAGAATGGATCCTGTGCAAGCTACAGACATCAAAGTCGCAGGGGACCTCCCACAGATGGTCTACATGCCTTGTGAGTTCTGGGCCCTCCATTGCTTTGAAGTTTGGTAAACATTTAGATTGCACAGAGCAGTATCCATTTACAAACTGCTTGAACATTCATGCTGGTTGGCCTGCCACAAAGTTCACTTTCTGAGCTTCAAACTGGCCAAAATTCATCATGAACTTTAGTTTGTGAGCCAGTTCATGCCCATTCCTAGTTGTCTTCATGTATTCCTTGCTAATATAATGAGTTTTGCTGTGTGCCTTCTCAGAGTATTCTAGAACAGTTGCCCCTTTCTCCCCAGTGGCAAATTCAGCCGGGTAGTGGTAGTCCTGTTTCATCTTCAGGTAGAAGACTTTGCTCTCATCCTGGGTCTTGCTGCTGTTCCGGTTGTCTAGGAGGCTCAGTGCATCCTGGCACACAAGCTTCCAGCTCCTTCTTAGTCTCACAGTAAGCATGGACCATCTCTATCTTGTTCTCATTGCCAACAGCAAAAGTCTTCTGCTCAGTGTTGCTAATTACTGCTAATCACTGCACCCCAACTACATTCTTTTAGGCTGCTGACCACTGATTCTTCTCTTCATCATTGGACAGTGGCTCATTCAGCTTTGTCACATTTTTCATAACAGTCACCATGTCATTGTATCTCTCAGCTTGTTTGCCCAGCTGGCATTTCTGTATCAGCTGTTCGCAGTCCACCATCTTCTTTCCTTTCACGGTGGTGATGTGGGTTGCTGCTTCTTTTTTTTGCCCCTTCCTTTTTCTCATTCTGAAGAAAAAATGAGAGGGAAAGGAAAGACTAAACAAAGGCATGATGTGAGGGCAGGCAGATGGAGGTAGGCGATTGGCAGGCTGGCACAGGAGGTGGTGGTTTAATGGCTGATGTTTCCTGAATACAGGACTCATGCATCACTCTCCTCCTGTCTTTCCTCTCACCTTCACACTTGTGCTGCTGCTGCTATAATGATGGTGGTGCTTGCTGGCAAAAGTAGTAGCCACGCCCAGATGGAGTGTGGAGGCTGATTTGCTCTTCCATCAGTTACTTTCCTCATGAAGGACAAGTTGGATAGTGACTTGTAGTTGGCTGGAAGCCCTCTGTCCTGTGAAAGGTTCTTTAATAATATATCCATTTCTGCCTCTTTCAGAGATCTGGGGGAAAAACCCTCAGCCCAGACAGGTATTAATCTTTATAAGGATTTTCTTTTCCTGACCAGATTTCAGCAGCCAGGCTGGGTAAATATCTAAGCTATATGTGATGACTTTCACAACATCCAGAACACTGACTGGGGCACTAGGCTGAAACAATATATAAAAAAGGATCAGAAACCTCTACTACTTGATTTATTTCCAGTACTGGCTTTCCAAGTCAGATTGGAGCTATCTTTGTCAGCAAAAAATCCTGAAGACTTCACAGCCAGTCTCCAAACCTCTGTCTGACCTTGGAGTTGTTAATAGCTGAATTATGCTAAACAATTTTGTAGAGTATGAGTATGACTTTAACAGCAAAGAAGTAGGGTTCTGTTCTTCCATTCAAAAGTGCAGGTATTCCAGCCCTGTTTATCTTGTAACACATTTATGGTGCATGAGCACAAATTAATAACAGAACAGATATAGTTTAGCCCATAGTAGATCTCAGGCTGAATAAATTATAGTGATATATTCACTGAACATGCAATTTAAAAATAGTGGTGTGGTAATTGTGCAGGTTTTTCACTAGATGGCGATACAGATCTTGTCTTTATTAAAAAGTTAAGATACTTCTAGTGCTTAAATGTTGGTCCATGTTCATCTAATTTGGTCTCCAAAGGATTACAGACTCTTGCATTGTGGTGGGGTTAGAAAAATTAACTGAGAATGTGTGTCTTTGTTTAAATTGGATGCAGAAGACTGTTTAAGTTAATGCATGAGGTTACAGCAACACAAAGCATTTTGCTCTTGCTTCAAGTTAATATTTTTTTTTAAAGTTTAGTAGCTTAGGCTTAGTTCTCACAAGTAGCAGTTGAGGTAGTAAACCAATTTCTGTGCTATACAAACTGCTAGCAGGGCTTATAATGTTTGTCAATTTTGAAAAAAATCTATCTTAAGAGTATTGGGTGTTTTTAGCATCTATAATATCCTGCTAGTATAGTAAAAAAATGAACTGACCAAGCCAGACTGCGCCCTATTAGAAGGCATGCCCAGCAAAGAAAGGGATAGATTTTTGAGGATATGATTTATTGGGAATT